CTGATCGCCTATATGTGAAACACCCGGTACCGGGTGTTCGCATTGGACGGGTCTTTTCTGCCCGTGCGTGCCCGCTAGGGAGCGCGCGCGAGCAGAAAAAAAAATGCCGTCTGGCGACGGCAACCCGCCAATGCAGCAGTGCCGTCCGTCCGTTTTTCTACTACGGGCGGATGGCAAGAGGTTAATTAATAATTTCAAATCATAAATATTAATTGTGCCTAAGCAGTATCCTGAAAATGTTTTATCTGAAATTCCTCCCTGAAAAATAGCAGAGCACTTCCTGGTATGTGAGGGTGCCTAGGCCCTCCTGTGTCTACAGCCTTATAACTGTATATCTGCAGTATGCAATCTAAGGCTCTGCTGCCTGAATGCTAGATGAGGAGATTTGGAATGAGATTTGGTGATGTCACTACTGTGCTGTGCAATGTTCCTGTTGCTGGAGGCTCTGACACCACAAACCAAAATTCTACCTCTACCAAGATGACCGCTCCACACAGTGCAGAGACACAGTGCAGAGCAAGGCATTGTAAGTCAGTAATAGGCAAAAAGATCAGCTGCAGGTAGACCACGGGCAATACTGGTGACTAGTCCTTTGTCCCCTGCTTGCTTTTTTTGGCACAGCTTCCAGATTTCAGTTCCTCTTTAAACCTTTAATAGGTATGGCAGTGTACTTGAAATTCTCTGTTTTAATACAATTCCCTCCATGTCTGGTAAAACATTGTCAGCAAGACAGTAAGTGAAGATGTACTGTATCTCCTTAACAGAGCCCAGGATAGCACAAAAAACTTGACAGGGACTAAGAAAACAATGTTTTGAGTGGATATATACTTTTGGTGTAAAGGACAGGCTGCAGCGCTTGTATTTCTGGAGAAAATGCTACTCCATAAGCCCTATACTGCTGGTTATGTAACTAAAGCCAAGGCATTAGGTGATACAATCTCTGCTGAAGGGGAGAAACAGTTAATCTGTAATGTGATTCTATATTGAGGCATGAAAGGGAGTTCCAAGTGGTGTTTCTTAAAAACAAAAAAAGAAGTATGTATTTTAACCTTTTTAATTACTCTTTATGTATACATTTCAGAAAGACCCTTTACAAAGTTTAAAGTTAACATTTGAGAAGGGGTCTGCTTTAGGTTGTTAGCATTAGCTTGTATATTTATTATCAATATACAGGATTTATATAGCGTCAGCAGTTTGCGCAGTCCTTTACAATATAATACAGAAACAAGGGATGTCCCGATACCGATTCTAGCTTCGGTATCGGGCCCGATACAGGGCATTTTCACAAGTACCTGTACTTGTGAAAATGCCCCGGTACATGATGCCGATGCTTGCGCATCGGTGTTGATTTTGTATTGCATATAGTTCCGGGCGCCGGGCAAGCAAGAGCAGGGGGGGTGGAGCGGTGGCGGCGGCGTTGAGCAGTGGCAGCGGGGGTGGCGTGGAGCGGTGACAGCGGGCGGGTGTGGAGCGGTGACAGAGCCGGGGTCGTAGAGCAGTGACAGCAGCTGGCGTGGAGCAGTGACAGAGCCACACACATGGAGCTGTGACAGGCTCTGTCACCTCCCTCAGCCTCTGTCCACGGCTCGTTCTTGTCACGGGAGAGATAGCACAGTGCTGTTCTGGAACTCCTGTGTTGGAGGTGACAGGGCCAATAAAGAGTACCTGTCACCTCCAAATGCTATCACACGGGTTTGTTAGCCCATGTATGATAGCAATAAAGTTAAGTGAAAAAAATAGTTAGGAAAAGTAAAAAAATAAAAAAGTTTAAAAAAAACAACTGATTAAAAATGTAACTAAATAAAAAAAATAAAAAGGCGATAAAGTAAGTGCAATCCGTGACCGCCCAGTCATCGTGCACGAAACCAAGCAGATGGCTGGGCGGTCACGGAATCGCACACCACCGCCGATTGCGGTGGCAGTGCCATTATCCTCTAATGGCACTCCATTCGCACCAGGCAGATTGCACGGTTTCCCGCCGCAATACCGCCTGGGCGGTCCCACACGATCGCGGTTGAAAACATGAATAGGTTAAATGTTTTATTGTTCTAAAACAGTCTTAAATTAAAGTTCTTCATAATCATAAACAAATTGTTTTTTTTTAAATATCACCTGTCCCTTTAAGAAAAAGTATCAGTAATTGGTATCGGCAAGTACATGAGGGGAAGTACTTGTTCTTAAAAAAGGGGTATCGGGACATCCCTAACAGAAACCTAAAAAATTCCCATATAATTTATTTGATAAAAAGGTAGCCCTTTCATTGCCCTTACAGCAGCTCAGAAACTTAAATGATGTTGACACAGCTACTGAAACCATAAGCCCCGGTCTGATACCATATGTCCACGTGTTCAGCGAGAATGAGGCTACCAATCATGTGACACAAGATGGCTGGGTGAGGTCCTGAAGGATCTGACCTCTGCTCTGATAAGCCTGACCTGACCCAGCACCATCCTGTCATCTGGATGTCATTCTGTTATCTATCTAATGCATTTTACAAGTATAATCCAATGGCTAGAAGAGAATTCTTTTTACCAACGGAAGGTAGACTTTTCACCAAAGAAGGTAAGTTAAATGTCCCCTTTGTTATTGCTTTTTGGGGTTTTAGCTTATTTTACAGCACTAGGTCTGTTTTGTTTTAAATGGTACTTGGATTTCTACTTTAAAGCACACAAGATTTTTAATACCAAGCCTTCTTGAAACCACAAACCATTACCACTTTAATTACATATATTATCTTGTTAGTTTTAATTAATGTGAAGGCAGTCTGCTGTATCTAATATCTTCATCTTAAAAGAAATTACATTTCACAATTTCATGTTTACCAAGGAAGAGATTTGGAAAATGTTTTTGAACAAACTTCATCAGCTGCAGAAGAACTAATTATGTTTGTTCGAGCTGGAAATTTTATCATATATATTTTAGAATGGGAAATTAAGAGCTTTCAAAGAGAATCTTGTCAATGAGTCATTGTGGCTATTGTGCATACCTAGATGTAATGCAGCTCATTTCCTAGACTCATTATCTAGGTTGGGGAAGTCTAGCAGTCAAATAAATGCACTAATTAAGGATGATGTTGGCTTAGTGTTTGAAATATGGTCCTTTTCTGACCAGGTAATCCAAGTGTTCTACAAGGTTGTAATGCTTAGGTATGCACACTTTGCTAAACAATAATAAGAACTGAGTATATTCTTAAAAAAATACTTTTACATGGCAATGGCAAAACGTAACATAGCACTTTTAAATATTCAACTCAGACTGAATGGATGGTTGACTGAATGTTTATCAGCTCAGTGAACCCAAGAACAGACAGCTGTTATCCAGGTAAACAGCTAAATACACAGTTGGGATTCATATACAGTATGTGTATACCCATCACAGGATATTGAAATTCTGTGCAGCCAGTCAGTGATCCAGGCAGCCCTGCACTTCCTAAGATATTTCTGCAGAATACATATGAGCAATACAGCTCGGTCAAGTCACAACTCTAGACTATGTTTGGACAATGAAGGAGCATCTGTATAATGATAAAGTCATCGCTCTGCTCTCTCTACAGGAAGCGCCCAGTGTTAGATGGACAGAAATTAACAATGACCAATGCAGTAGGGTCATAACTGACTTTCAGTGTTGCCTCTACCACTCCCAGTATGAGTGCTGCCATGCAGGGGGTACGTTTCAACAGGATTTTCTTTCTTTTTTGTTTTTTTTTCTCAATACGTTATATGCTGCTTGTCGATCAAAACTTTAGTAAATCTAAAATGTTCTTGGGTCATGCAGTATAAATGTATTATACAAAGTTGGAAAGTCCGATGGTTTAAGTATAACAGTGTACCTCAAGTACAGTAGAACATTTTCATGTTGTAGATTTAAAAAAAACAAGCAATACAAAATGTAAAACATTGTGTTGTTATTGAACATAAAAAAAAAACCATTGTGTTATTGATGTAAAAAAAAACCTGATTTCAATTATTTTGCGGGTTAATGTTAGGGTGCTCATGCAAGATGTAGAGGTGTGGTTACAAGGACCTTCAGTCGTCAAAGGCAATTGCTACTGCAGAGACTGCTAAGTACCACAAGTTGCTGGATGTAAGTAGAGGGCCTTGGCAGTCAGCCGTGCTGGAAGGGTTAAGGGACACCATCATTGCTGATCACTTTGACCGTTCAAGAGAAGGATCACACTTCCAGGCAAAACAGTTATCTTTCTGTTGTGCAGGTGCCTCTGTGTCAGCAATATTATAGAATGTTCCCACCAAGCACACACCAATCAGCATATTGCTACAGGTTTGCAGAGGCAGATACTGGCAGCCTTATAAGAGGGCATGCATTTGTAAGGGCCAGAATGGATAAAAGGAAAGGAAATGGAGCCCAAACCCTTCCCTCATAATATATATTAAGGCTGAATTCAAGCTTATCTCTGCACATTGCATGTACAATTCGGAAAGGTAAGGGGGAATCCCATTCACTTCTAATGGGTCCCCAATGAACTTCAATGCAATAAACAACATGTCTGACTCTTTAACATACCACAATGCAGAGATGTGGATACAAATGTGTTGTGGTGTACAACATTGGGCAACACACATTAAAATGGAAACGTATAGGTCTGAATCGGCCCTAGAGGGCCACTTAAAACTGATTATATTGTTTTTTTGGAGATGCTCAAGCACTTGACAATTTCTTGTATGTATTAATTAATTCACAAAGAAAACTCACAGACACATAGCTCATAAACACAAGAGAATCCCATCTTTCACAAACCAGAGCTATAATTAACATAAAACAAATTACCATTGTCATCCACCACTCGAGTCTGCTCTTTGCAGCAATCAACAGGCAGACCAATCATTTCTACTTCCACATAAGGATCAATGATCTGCAAAAAAAAAATAAGTCTTTAAATAAATCAAGCAGCACTTTAGAGTAAGGTCACTTTTTTATAACAACAAACAGTAGTCTGTTAATTAAACCAATTGTCACATTACAGCCTGTTACAACTCCATGGGGTCAATTTACTTAAGGCAAAGAGGCTGTTCACTTTGCAAGGCAATTTGCACTTTGCAGGGGATGTTTCCCCTTACTTTAGGGAATGCGGTGAAGCTCTGCTGACTTCTATCACCCAATCATGTGAAAGAAAAAATACATTTTTTTCTATGTTCCCTGCACGTGATTGGGTATTCTTTGCAACATGAAATTTCCCCAAGCTGAGCAAAACCTACCCTGCAAAGTGAATATTCCATTTGCAAGGTAATTAGCATTTTTCTCTATAGTAAATCAACCCCAATGACCCTGGTTTACTAAATGAGAAGAGCATGTTCACTTTGCAAAGATAATTATTACTTAGCTCCGTGAATAAGATTCAGCTATGCTGCTTTAAATCATCCAATCATGTGCTTGCAAAACATACCCAATCAAATAAAATAAAAAAAACATAATTTTTGAAGTGACCTTCACCTCATTCACTAGGTTTAGTGAAAATTCCTTTGCAAAGTAAAAATTCACCAGGGTCAATATACCAGATATGGATTTTACACATTAGGGGACAATGAGGATGGTAGATTAGATAAGGGCAATGGTGGTAATTCAGAAATTTTCAGATTTTGAAATAACTTTTCCCTGATGAAATTGATTATAATATCACAATAAACATATGTTGTGACGATAATGATATTTAGATAAAGGTGTGTAATGAGAATGACAACAGAATAAATACAGTTATATAATAGTTAATATAGCGGTTTGATGATGACAAGAGTGATGATAGACAATGTGGGGAGTTGTGGTGACAGATTTAGTGGTAGTGATGATGTAGCTGAAGATGCTGTTGATGGTGAGATTTGAGTAGGGTGTTCAATAAAGATAATTTGGGTAAATCTGGTGAGGGTGATGATGATGGCAGTGACAGATTTTATGGAAGTATCCAATGACAAAGACAAATAGACAATATTGGTGATAATATTTATAAGAGATTTCATAAAAATGTATACACTAACGAGCAGTGTTGATATGAAAAGAGTATGGTAAATGGCAAGATTTAAAGTGACCCTTTCCTTTGCCTATGCAGGTCAAAATAAAACGGCCACTTTACTTAGACCAGGGGAAGTAAGCTCTCTGTGAACTCCCACAGGTGGGTTGTTGAAATCACACAGGGCTATGGGCTCCTGTCATGGTCACAAATGAGAGTGTTGGGCCAATTCTGAGGCACCCAGTGCTGTCACATGTGAGAGAATCACAAACTCACTCATCTGCAAAGTTCTGGGTATTTCACTTGCCTAATGGAGTGGCACAGAAAAAAGGATAGGCATGTGTCCACTCTTGGGAAGGAGGTAAAAATAATAATGATGATAATAATAATAATAATAATAGGTTTATATATATTCAATAATGGCAACGGTAGTGCTTATGGATTGCTTGTGGAAATGTATAGTGTAAGATTTTGCAGAGAACCAGACAAAATGTAACATACAAATTATATATAAAAATTAGAGGTGCACCGAAATAGAAATTTTAAACCGAAACGAAACCGAAATGAAAAAAATTGTCCAGCTTAAACCGATACTGAAAATGTTTTTTATTTTAATTTTTTCAATGTCTTTATTTATATATATTTATTAATTCATTTTTTATTAAATATTTTTATTTTTTTACTTTCAGGGGCTTTTAGGGGCTTAAAATAGAAAAAGAGAGAACACAGAGTCCTCTATCTCATTTTCTGTATCCCTTGATATCAATGAACAGGAATGAGTGTTCCTTTTCATTGATAACATGAGGACATGGTATGTTTACTATATCTACAACTATGAATGAACAGGAGGGGATTTAGATCACTCCCATTCATTCATTATTGAGGATATAGTCAACATACCATGTCCTCAATTATCTACAATACACTCAGCGATCACTGATCACTGAGTGTTTGCACTCACTCTCCTCTCTGACACGCTGTCACAGGAGGCTGAGCGAGCGGAGCAGGGAGGAGAGCTCAACCTCCTGTGACAGCGCGGGCTGTCTCCGCCCCCACAGCACTCTGCCGGACTGTGATAGGCGGCTGAGCGGTGTGGGAGGAGAGACACCGGCCGCTCACAGTGCTCTCCACCCGCAGCGCTCATCTGGCTGTTGTTTTCTCTCCTCCCCGCTGGAACACAGAGCAGCGCCCAGCGAGGAGGAAAGAAACCTGGATGCGCCGATGTATCGGCAGGAAAATGGCAAAAAGTGCCATTTTCGGACAATATGTTTAGGCGGCCGATATATCGGTGCATCCCTAATTAAAATACAAGCTTTAATTTTCGAAATTCCCCAGAATTGGATGAAAGTGATGAACTATGCTTTTACTGCTTAGTTTTGTAAATACGTCAGTTTTCTATTGAACCCCACAGAAACAAGATTTAAGGAATGTCAATAAATACAGCATAACAGATATCAGTCTCACCTCCCCTCGGTCTCCAAGCATAGAATCGGGAGGTTTGGGAAGCTGTTGACCACTGATAATTTTAAGAATTAGTTGCTTCTTAGGGCTGGCAGGTAAAGGATCTCCAGAAAAAGGGTTAAACACACCTAAGTATTGCATGAGAAAGCAGAAAATATAATGTAAGTATGTGTGCAAACAGAACATTTTAATACCCATTTGTATAATAATGAGCAAAATGAAACTGCAATCAGAAGAAAAGAACGGTGTGAATTATCATTTTTGTTTAACAATCAGGTTATCTTCGAAGCAGAATAAGTCATGCCACTTAGCCATCTTACAAAAACCCCAATGCATTAAATTGCCTCCAATTCCATTTTGTAGATCAATATGATTTACTGAACATCCTTATTAAATTTAACAGCAATAACAATAGAAAGGGTCCTGCATATATTACACTCGGGAGCCTGCTAATTAAAAAGAGTGGATTACCTTTGCACATCTGCTGGGGTTTGAGGACGTAGCCACAGTTACCATTCACCTTGAATTTTGCACGATTTAATTCCATCATGCGTCCTTCTGTTTGGTAATTGAGTGCAACTGAAGGCAGAGAAGGAGGGCTAAGTAATATATAAAGTACAGTGCATACCACAGAACTATTCCAGTAAAGAAGTGATGTAGTGCTGTAAAGTAGTGATGTAGCAGATAATATGAAAGCCAAGACAACACTACTGCATTAACAAAACATCTATACCCACAACTTAAAATGAACAATGTAAATGCAATGTCTGTATTATCAAATGGTATTTAACACAAAATGCAAATCTGAAGGGAGGTCAAAACTGTATAAAAAATGTAAGCTTTACTCAGTACAACCAATAAAAACATACATAAAACACAACCAAACAAATCAAAAATAAACAGCAGCAAAAACTAAGGTGTTAATGGTTAGCGTAGGTCTGGGATAGTAATAAGCCCATATTTAGATCTGGTTTGACAAAGGTTGTAAGGTCATTCTACAATAGAGTCCAATGTATTCACACAGATGACATTTAACTCTTCCATGCAGATACCTCCCAACTTTCTGAGATGAGAAAGAGGGACACAATAAGGGGGATTTATCAAAACTGGATAAATTCTGTCTGGAGCAGACAGAATCTGGAGCAGTTGCCCAGAGCAACCAATCCAGGGGCGTATCTGCCGCGAGGCAAACAAGGCGTTTTCCTGGAGCGGCAGATCCGCTGAGGGCGGCATCCCGAGGGTTACTGACCTGGAAGCGATGACGCGGACGTTGGCCTGGATGGCGTGTGTAGACTGCGGCCGGCGTTGTTTTGCGGGGAGTCTGTAAGAAAAAAAAATGAACCAATCAGTTCATTTTCGAAACTCAAATGAACAAACAGAAGAAAAAAGTTGATTGGTTGCCATGGGCAACTGTTTCAGGTTCTGTCTTCTCTAGTTTTAATAAATCCCCCTCAATGTATTTAGGAAATGGACACACCGTTGCCACGCTCCCAGTTATAACCTGCCATTAAGAATTTATATGCCAAAAGTGGTTAATTAAATTCTGAATCGTTTTTTCAACACGACTTTTCCTTTAAGATGGGTATACACTATTAGATTTTTTTCCTCTCATTTTGGGCAGAACGCAAAACATCTAACAGATTCCTCCATCTATGCTAAACATTGTGAATAGATGAATATCCCACTGAACTATAGTATTTTAACAATTGGCTGGCTGGCTGTCAAAATACCTTAACAGTGCCTGCATTTTATTGTATGCAGGGACTGTTTGGTGACAAATTCTCCTCCCGTCTCCTTTGATTTTTCAATTAAAAGATGTCGGGCAGGTGCTGGCAGAAAAAACCACCCACTGAGCAGATTTTGGCTGTTTCTTCAAAAACTGGCTGAAATTTGCTCAGTGTGTAGCCAGCTTTGTACTGAAAATAGCAAACATGATAATTATGAGATAAGATAAAGATTGTAGTGCAGAATAACACTTTTGGTAGTTAAATAGAACATTTGATATCTGTACATCAGACCCAAAAGAGGGAAAACAAAGGTGTTAAGGCAGGCACAGGGATTTGGTTCCAAATGAGGGACAGTTGGGAGGTATACATGTATTTAGCATGGCGTGTTTTGTCTGATTTGTTTCTATGTTTCCCTAGGAATTGCAGACATACAGTAGCAGCTATAACTATGCATTTAAACAAACTATTCTTAAACCAAGATACTGGGCCTGTTAACACATCCAGTACTAAGCTGGTAGGATTAATGGTGATTTCTATCATTTTAACCATGTTTATAACTCACACGGTTGTGCGGCTTTCACATTTTCTGCAGAAGACGTGTATCTAAACCTCTGTTTTTAACCTTAGCAGTGAGACAAGTTTTTTTGCATGCTGGCTTGTGAGTGTGCTGGGAAAACTTGTTGCTGTTTGTACTGCATTAGGCCCTTCCATGTGCACCTTGCTGTAAAGCTGGTAACAAATTGATGAGTGCGTTTGCCAATTGTTTTGCTTCACTGATTTGGTGCAGTAATGCATGGGGGGTCTCAGCTCCCTTGTGCGTCACTGTGCCTTTAAGGGAGGTTGGGCTTCCTCCTGACAAGCCTGCACCCAATTTGATCTTTTGCCACATGTGCTCCAAGATGGAGACTCTCATAGTTTAGAGTTATGACCGCACCATTTAGAGGTGCCTTGACGCGGCTGTGCGGCTTTCACATTTTCTGCAGAAGATGTGTATCTAAACCTCTGTTTTTAACCTTAGTGGTGAGACAAGTTTTTTTGCATGCTGGCTTGTGAGTGTGCTGGGAAAACTTTTTGCTGTTTGTATGTTTATAACTCAATCCCAAAAAGGACCATTTGATTCTCCTCCTCTCCATCCACACTGATCAAAAAATCATTTTGATCAATCTCATATCTTAAGGCAGCTGTCATATACCTGATCTAATGAGCCCTGGGGTATTTAACACCTTGGATGTGCACAGAAACCTGTCATTGTCATTTCTGTACCTATATCCACCAGAGTTTAAACTGTATCATTATGATATGGAATACACTATTCAGCAAAATACAAACATGTTTCAGCACATAGGTAAATAACATTTCTTCCTGAGACTTAGTTAAATATGTAAGGGGTAAAGCTTCTGTGTTATACATATCATGATACATACCTAGCTGGATTCCAGCATTCCAATATGGCACTGGGTTAAAATTACTGGAGTCTATCCTGTATGCAGATGGATAGATTCTGGTAAGCTGGTTCTCATTATACAACATAAATTGCTCTGACTTCTGCTGAACTACTTGATGTGCTCTGGTCTCACTGAAAGATAAAACATTTCCTGAGGAGCCTGAAATACAACCAGAATTAAAAGTCAGAAAAAAAACGTAACATTTTAGTCACCTCTTTTGGAGCTGGTTTAATAAGACAGCGATGAATCATTGCTTCTGTAATATATAATTGAGGACAATAATACTTTGGTAATTCACAGAGCGTGTTTTTCAGAACATCAATCCCAAATAAGTCAATTGTATTGACTTGACGTGATCTAGATAGGATGTTGTCCTCCAATAAATTGGTTTGCTTTAGTCCAAAAGCAGGGGTAAATGACTGAATCGAACTGTTTTGATTCCCCTTTTTGGTAAGAATTGCTTGTTTGTCAATCTTACTTAAAATGTAGCATGGTATGACCATTTGGAAAACATTATTTCACATTCAATATGCCATCAGAATTAATTTATATTTAATATTATTGCTTATTTATGTATCCCTTTATCTCTGTTGAAAATGTACATAGCATAGGATATAACAAAGAAGAGTAGTACAAGTAATACATTACCTAATATATTGCAAAGACTAATACATACGCTGTTTAGGAACACAAGAGAAGAGAGGTCCCTGCCTGTCCATGCTCACAATATAGAGAATATATGAAATAATTATATATTTACAGATCTGCGCTTATAGGTACAAACCTCACATGGGTGACAGAGCTGCTACAATCAAGACAACTGGGTCACAAAATGAACAATGAATTATGCAGCGCTAAGAACCACATAAATAAATTAATAAATATTATAGGTGATCATAGGTGACCTGTCGTTCCCTTGAAGACGAAACGCGTCTGAGGCGGGTCTACTTGACGCCACTGTGAATGCAGAAGTGAGGACGCACGTTTGGATTCACCGGCCGGTTATCTTTTATTGCTATGCAAGTTTTTTTATTATATTTCTAATAAAGCTTTTTTGATGTACTGCACAATGAAGAGTTATTTTCAATTTTCATGATTATGGGGGCATCGCTATATGCGGAACGCTGTCTGTGAGATATACCTGGAAGACTTTGGGAACCTCTGGTATAGCACTGGCTTCTGATTGTTTTTCAGCAATGGATATGCAGTGAGTTAGCATTCCTAGGGGGTTGTTTGTGTGACACAAAGAGAATAACGGAATTATCTCTAAACACTTTTGGACCAGACTACAGATTATTAATTACACTCTTGGACTATTTCCCTTTTGGACTATTCACTTATCACTTTTGAATTTTGATAATTAGTTTTTTCATGTGTATATATAATAGTTTTATCTTATGTATTAATGAATTCACATTATGTGATCATGTTATGAATAGAGTATTTATGAATGTGATGCACTATTTTTGCACTATTTTGCACATCTTTATGAATGTAATATATTATTAATAGTAGGGATGCACCGATATATCGGCCGCCGAAACATATCGGCCGAAAATTGCACTTTTGGCATAATGCCGAAAGAGCCATGTTTAAATAGTATTGTTAATAGTATTATCAATTGATCACCTATAATATTTATTAATGTATTTATGGGGTTCTTATGCATAATTAATGTTCATTATATGAAATAATTGTATTGGATATATTGTTACAAAATAAAAAACAGAAAGATAGATAGATAGACAGACCCTAAGGTAATATTTTAGGCACAGGGCTCTGAAATGAGGAAAATATATAAACATAGCTCCCACACATCCCTAACAAATATTGCGGTTTTACTACAACTAAAACTAATTGTAATACAAAGACAATTATATTTGTGTATAAAACCTATGCCATATTCATAGTTTCAAAGCATCAGTCATTTTGTGGAAAAGTAATACAGAAAAGTGTATTTCAATAAAGTTAAGCACCAAATTATTTAAACAGGCTGGTAAGAAAGCCAAGTAAGGCGACAAAACAATCAAACCCTGGTTATATTATATGTGTTTTACACATGCAATTGCCTAGAAAACTGCACTAATGTAAGGAAATCGTTGTGTGCTAGGTCACGCTTTTCTTGTGATTGTGGAAATGCAGACGTAATAGCATTTGTCTGCTTCATTATATAGCAGCATTATGCTGGAAACAAATATTTTTTTCCAAAATATACTGATATGATGTAAAATGCTCTATAGTAAAGTAAATTATGTTTTCAGCTATTTTGTATAGTAATCTGCACACTGGGCACAATGTCTTACCGCAGTCAGTTTTTAATATTTAATTTAGGATAAGTTTACTCATGATCATGACCAAATGAGCAAGTTACTAAAAATAAGTTTGCATAGCTTGTGAATGGATTCATACAATTGCACTGCACCAGCACTTACATAGGATGCAAATCTCTATAACCCCCATTAAGATCCTCTCTTTGGCTTCTATCAGGGCAGAGTGAAGGTCCCGGGGGGTCCTTTAGAATATGCTGTTGGATAAGTTGTCCTCCTGATCTGCATTTGACCTGCTTCTAGCAGGTTTTACATTCCCATAGACTTGTATGGGATTGCAAAACCCATCGGACCCAAACATAAGCCAGTCCACACAGTCCCTAAAGCTGACCAGTTAAGCTGGTCATACACTATGCATATTAATACAATATAAATGTGCCGAGCTTAAAAAACAAAATGCATATAGAACACGTGCATAAAGATATGAATCTATATATGAATCTCCTCAGTGTATATCCAACAACGCATCAAAGTATGAAATATCAACTAACAAAATGCCAATGCAATAAGGTCCATAAATGTGATGATTACACATATAATAACATACACGTGTAAATCCACATAGAGAAAAAAGAGATATGTCAAAAAGTGTAGTGAATCTGCTTTAGTCCCAAAAACAGTGATCAACACTCTCTTTCCGTCTTCCACCGCATGCACCCCGTGATCCAAAATGCACAAAGCGGTGCTCACCTGATGTTATGGACCCACTCCATAACATCCCTTCTTAATCTACACTATATATTTCTGCAGATTATTATTTCTCTACACTATGCATCTGGATAAACCGGCTGAAATTCACACGGTGGGTCCTGCTGTCGGCACCCTTTTGACTGGCATCCCTATATCAGGTGACCAAAGGAGCCGGTTGGAAAATCTTTGAACAAACAGAGCCAGCAACCAATGAGCTGTCAGCTCTGTTTGGGTATTCTGACAGCAGCCGGCGGCGGCCGCCTGAATACGATGAAGACAGCGGGAAATTCCTTGATCTACGCTCGTAAGCAGTGATGGAGGAATCTGTTATATTGTCTATGTTCAGCCCGCAGGTTGAACAAAGAAAATATTACAGTGTATGGGCAGCTTTAGGCCTCATTCATACACAACGCAAGAGCAAAATTATGCACATATTTGTAAATGCGTATAGATGCGTATATGCGCGTATGTATGAGCATAGTTTGCGCGTATATGCGTGAATTGTATGAAATCCCATAATGCATCATTTTGAATAGAAACTGTAATGTACTGTACGTGCGTAGCTGCATATACACACACGCCTATAAGTGCGCAAGCGCGTAAAATACGCACAAACATACGGCTCCATACGCAGTTATGTGTATGGAGACATTTATTTGCATATGCTGCATATGGGAAACAATGCTGCGCGCATCTATGCACAGCGTGTTATACGGCAGTGTGAATGAGGCCTTAGTGACTGTGGCACTGAGGGTATTGATGAGAATGCTTTATTATGCTGTTATTTGATATCTTAAGTTGTCACACTATCAGTACTGCTGTCATGTTCATCAGCCAACTGCTCAAACACATCAGCAAATGCATTCATTACCATGACGAACCTAGAACACACACATTGGTACTAATCCAGCTGCCCAATATGTTTATTGTTAACACTGTTATATAATACAGGCAATGTCAGCACAATCATGTAAAAAGGTGCCAAAATGTAGTGAAAAACTATTGATTTGGAAAATAAACAAAGTAGGAAGGTATAGCAAAAGTCTTCAAAATTACAGAACAAGTACAGTTCAATGCCACTAGCTAAACCATGACCTGATACACGGATAAAATACACACTTTTTTTTACCTGCCAAAGGATTTGGCACAGGCTGTCTAAAATAATAATTCCCTAAGAAACTTTCATAAATGATAGCCACAGTGTCTTGATATATAGCTCCAGCTACCAATGGTATTAGCAGTTGCTTCTGCAAATTCTTGCAACAACCACAGCTTCCTGCAACAAAAGTAGCAGATCACATTTACTTCTATAGTTTGCAAAACCTGCTATCAGCTGATGGACAAAATAGATATTTTTTTTGTAATCAAGTGTTTGCATTTGTTTGTAAAAAGAAAACTATGACTATGAAAAAAAAGATTCATTATATTTTTCTCGCTAGTCTTTACCATCAGTTTAATTTATCTGCTTTGCTGGATTATGCCTCGCTAGATACAACTGTCAATGCATGGTATTAGTGACAAATGCTTTTGTAAAAAAAACCTTTTAAGTAATGCTTACTGCTGGTATGATACAGGAAAACCATACAAGCATTTGTATTGCTTAACAAGATAAGCTGCATTGTTTGCATCAGTGGCAGGCAAACGTGCAATTATGATAAAAGCTAAAATCGCAGACCACAAAAGCAGTAAAGCTCCTTTTATTTCCAAAGAAGCACTTTAAATCTAAAGCAATCCACATAAATGTAACTATAAGATTGAATTTAAAACCGCCAATCTGGGTCTAAATAAACAAAAGCACATTGAACCCTGGTCCTGAGAAATGGTAAAGCAAAATAGTTATCATGGGGAGAGAGCAGAGCAGTTATCAGACAGTACAGACAATATATATGTTAACACCTCATCCAGGTTTATTTAATAATAATCAAAACATTATTGAGCAATTCATAATTTATTAGTAATCATTCAAATACTATTGTTTGATATTTATGTAGATTCTATAGATGTACATATATGTAATGATTACAGCTGGAAAGTGTTAACGAGGAGACTGAGGTGGTCGCCTATAGCCTTAAAGGGTATTTCCACATTTGCAGTCAAAATTTAGAAAGCCCTCTCTATATGTTTGTTCTGTGTTCCCATTCA